AGGGGCCTGGAGTTGAGGGGGAAGCTGGGACTCCAGGGGGGGTACTGTCGGTCCCTGCGAGCTGCCCTCCATGAGCTCACCCCCCCTCTGTCCTGTGCCCGCAGGGGCGACCCCCGCCTAGTGAAGCTGAACGTGGCCATCATCAGCGGCTACTTGCTCTATGGTACGTGCCCCCCCCTCACCCCTTGGAGCTGAGGGGTCCCCCCCTCTGGAGCAGGTCTGAGCCCCCCCCGGACCCCAGAGCAGCCGGGGGTGTTTGCAAGGGCTAGACCCAGGGGGGTGACCCCTCCTTCTCACTCCCGCCCCTAGACCTGCTGCTTCTCGGCCGCTACTGGAAGACGATGGGAGACGCGCTCTTCGTGTGTCACCACGTGGCGGCGCTGTACGCCTACGGCTACGTGCTGGTCAGTGTGGGGGGAAGGGCTGCGGGTCAGGAGTGAGGGTCACCGGCTGGGGCAGAGGGTAGGGAGCAGCGGGCTGCTGGTCGGGAGTGAGAGGCACGTTTCAGCCCGGTCTAGAGGTGTGGGTCGAGAGTTAGGGCTTCGGCTGGGACAGGGGGCAGGTGGCTGTGGTTCTGGAATGAGGTGCATCCTCCAGCCTGGAGGGTTGGGGGCTGTGGGTTGGGAGCGAGAGGTACCGGGTCCTGGAGGGGCTGGGCAGGGGCTGACGGTGTCCTTCCCCTCCAGAACCGCGGGGTGTTACCGTATTTCGCCAATTTCCGCCTCCTCTCCGAGCTTTCGACCCCCTTCGTAAACCTGCGGTGAGTTTGGGGGCATCTGGCCTGGCCTGGCCCGTCCTACAGCCCCCTCCCCAGCTCTACTGCCCCTGGGCAGACCTCGCTCCAGTCTGGGGGAGTCCCTACTCTCCCCCAGCACCAGGCGCAGGCTCTCAGCAAATTCAGACAGCGAAACCCCGCCCCCTTTCTCCTCAGCCAATCCCCTGGCGCGGAGGAGGGGGCGGGTCTTCTTAAAGTGACAGAGCCCCCGTTGTGGCAGGTGGTTCCTGGAGGCGGCGGGGTGGCCGCGGGGTTCGGTGCCGGTGCGGGCCAACGGGGTGGCCATGGCCGTGGCCTTCTTCGCTGTGCGCATCGCAGTCATCCCCACCTACTACGCCCGCGTGCTGGCCTGGCACGGCACGCCCGAGTACGCCCGCCTGGGCCCGGCCGTGCAGGCCGCCTGGATCGGGCCCAGCCTGGCCCTGGAGGTCCTCAACCTGGTCTGGATGTACCGCATCCTGCGGGGCGTCTACCGCGCCTGCCGCGCGCCCCGCAAGCAGCTCTGACCGGGGACCCTCGCGCCACCCTTCCCCCCCACCCCCCGCAATGACCCGGACCAGCATCCGCGGAGCCTGGGGGCGTCTAAACTGGAATTGCCCCTGGGAGCACCTGAGTTGAGTTGGAATTACCCCTAGTGGGGGGCATCTGGCTAAAACTACCCCCCCCCAGGGAAATCTGGATTGGAATTACCCCCCTGAGGGCATCTGGGCTGGAATTACACCTCTAGGAGCATGAACTGCTCCCCCCAGGAAACTCTGAATTGGAATTACTCCTCAGGGGTATCGGGGCTGGTAGTGCTCCCCCCCTGGGCCTTCTAGGCTGGATTTACCCTCCCAGGCATCTGGGCTGGGATTACCTCCCCAGGGGGCAACTAAATTGGAATTGCCCCCCAGGGGCATCTCGGCCCGTGTGGCCCTCCCTCGATCCCTCCCAGCTGCGGGGGCCGTGCAGAAAAAGTAGCCTGGGGGAGCCTACCACCACCCCCGTCGTGCCACTGCACCAGCCTCGTGCCTCTCTGCCAGGCTGCGTGCCTCAATTTCCCCACCTACAGGGTAGCAGCCCTGGCTTTCATCAGTGCCTTCCCTGGGACCTCCTCTGCTCCGGGGCCCCGATCCTGACCCGGGGAGTGGGGGCCGGGAGTATCGATCCTGGCGGGAGGGGCCCCGATCCTGGCTGGGTCCTTGAATTGGTCAGGTCTCTCCCTACCTCAGTTTCCCGCCCCCCCCCCCCCCCGGGGGGGTGCCCCCCCCGCCCCCCCCCCCCCGGGGGATGTGCACCCCACGCCCCAGGCCTCGATCCTGCGTGGACCATGTCTCACTCCCCCCCACCCCTCCCCCCACGATGGTGCAGGGGGCGGGGCGGGGCCGACCCCGGGGGTCCCCGGCATATGTGGGCGATGACGTCACCACTGATCGCCAGGGGGGCTATACATGGCCATGCTGCACGGCGTAGGGAGCCCCCTACGTCACCGCCGCGTCATCAGGGAGGAAAGGAGAGGCTGGGCTGTGATCTCACTTTAGGGGTGTTCCCCGCTCATGAATAAATCACCAGATGCTAATAAGCCGTGCACGCCCCCTGGCGGCCGGGGACGGAACTGGGGGCGTGGCTTGTTGTGTGATGGGCGTGGTTTGGTTGAGGAGGGGCGTGTCCTGAACACGCCGCGAGTGGGCCATACGGGGCTGTATGGACCTGGCACCGCAAAGCCCCCCGGGTTGGCCCGGCCCGGCCCGCGGGCTCCATTCCCGCCTTCCTCCACCCCCAGATTTATGGCGTGCCAGGGCCAGGAGGGAGCCGGACTTATAAGGCAACAGAGCCGAAGGCTGGGGGCGGAGCTTGGCTAGGACGCCTGGGCTCTCCAGAGAGGGGGATCTAGTGGTTACAGTTCTGGGGAGGGGGCCTGGGGCCTCTCCACAGCTCCAAATAGGAGGTGGGGGCTGGAAGCCTGAACACCTGGGTTCCAACTAGCTCTGGGAGTGGGGGTGGAATGCATGGGACTAGAGCAGGGGGTCTTGGGAGCCGGGATGCCTGGCTTCTGTCATCAGCTGTTGGGGGCAGTGGGGAGGCCTGCGATCAAAGTGGGAGGACCTGGGGGTCAGGACTCCTGGGTTCTGGCTCTGGGGGTCTGGCTCCCAGCCCCAGGCTCTACTACTGTAGAGTGGGGAGAGCTGAGATGGGGGGCTGCTGGACAGCTCCCCCCAACCTGGCATGAGACAAGTTTGCTGGGTCTCCAGCCCCTTCATGCAGCATGCCCCCCAATTCCTGGCCCCTGGCTCACTTCTGTCCTGGCCCCATCCTCTCCTGGACTCTTCTTGGGGGAGTGGGGAACACAAGCGCACGCCACTCTTCCTATCGGGGCTGATTCAGCGCAGTCCAATGCAATGAAGGGGCATGGGCTTATGTCAGCCGAGGGGGGAGGGCCTTGCTCCTAACCCCCCTTGCCTCTCCACAAGGCCCCTACTCCATGGGGAAACTGAGGCAGGGGGCAGTGACCCCCCCACCCCCCCGCAGCCTGAGTGAGGGCATGGTGAGTGGGTGGGAGAACCCAGGTGCCCTACAGCCCAGGTGGCTACTTGATAAGTATGGGGGGCTGGGAAAGAGAGGCCCCCAGGGTAGCCCCCCGGGGGCTGGAGAAGACAGGAGTTGAGGAAGCTGGGAGGGAGGAAGAGAGAAGAGGAGGAGCAAGAGGGGAGCATGGGAGGGAGGAGAAGGGAAAGCAAGGGAGAGGAACAGACAGCAGGGGAGAGAGCAGGGATGGCGGGAGCAGGAGGGGGGCTGGGGGTAGGGGAGCACCTTGCCCCCCCTCTGCCCGCCCAGGCCTGCCCCCCCACCTTGGAAAAAGTGACACCATCCTGCTAATACCAGGGGGCTGAGATCAGCTGGGGGGGAGCCCCGCCCCCAGCTTGCAGGGAGGGGAGCGGGGGTTGGGTGGGGGTGGCCGGGCCCAGCCGGGGTCTTAAGGGCTGGGGCAGCAGACGAGCAGCAGCTGGGCAGAGCAGGTCCAGACAGCAGCATGTCCAGCGCCCACTTCGTCCGTGGCCCAGCCTACGGGCTCTCCGCCGAAGTCAAGAGCAAGGTAGGGCCCCAGGACTGGCCTGGGGTGCTGCCTCCCCCAGCAGGGCCCTGGGGGGGCACATGGGGGCTGGGAGATGATACTGAGGTACATGGGGCAGTGGGGGGGGGCAGGCTGGGGTGGTGGCAGGTCCCAGCTCAGACTGGTCCCAGGGCCTGAGGATTGGGCCTGTTCACTCTTAAAGCCCCACAGTCCAGCTTGGGGGCACCGCCAGGATGGACATGGGGCAGAACCCCCTGGGATCCCCTGGCTGAGGGGCTTGGGGGCAGCTTGGCACCCCTGAGAGGATTCATCCCCTCCCCCTCTATGGGACTAACCCACAGTGGAGGCATCTCACCCCATTTACCCCAGGGGGGGCAGGGCCTTGCTGCAGCTGAGTCTGGGGAAATGGCAGGTCAGGATGCCTGGGTCTGTCTAGTGGTGACTGGCCCCTCCCTGCCCCTTGCCTCAGTGTCCCCATTGGTGATAATGTGGGGCAAATCAGAAGTCAGGGGTCAGAGGTCA